GCAATTTGTTATTGCTGAAATTTGCATTAAAAGAAATATATGTATCCATAGTTATATATATTTAAATATTGTTTCTTTGCTCCAAACATAAGATCAAATAAATCAACGAAAAGATTTAATATTATAATTTAATTTTTAAGCTTCGGGAAGGGCCACTAAATAATTTTCACTTATTAAATTAAAATAGATTTAAATAATATTCAAAAACTATTTGCAGTGAAATACCAAATGATTTTTAAATGATGAATTTTTATAATTATGGTTTATTTTTGAAATTAAAACAAATGAAAGATTTAAATAAATGATTTAGATCGATATTTAAATCAAATTGATTTTTTTTCCTACACCCTACTACCAATTAGCTCGAAATCCTATAAATTTATTAATAGGTTTAGCGGTGCCGAATAAATTGGTATCACATTTCGATTATTTTAACCGCCACGAACCACTTTCTGTGCGCGAATTAACGATCTTTTTTAAAATATAATACCAAACTAATTTATTAATTTAAATAACGGTTAAGAAGATTATAAATAATTTGTATTTTCATTTTTTATTATACCACTATTTTTTAAAAAAAACAAAGTTTTCTTAGTGATAAAATGGAATGCTTTTTATAACGAGGCAAGAAACATATATACATATATTTATTGATTAGATAATGATATCGCAAGGTTATATTTTAATATATGTGTCACAATTATTTTTTCGTTGTATGGTGAACGTCCAATAACTGGCAAAAAAAGGAGTAAAATAGTTTTACTTTTTTTGAACTTAAATAATCAATATTATTATTTTTTTATTTATTATTTCCAGAGTGGTTAAAAAATAGTAAGATCTATCGTCCAAAAACTTATCTAGATAACGATACCACATTTTTATATCTATATAAACTGATTATTTTGATTCGGAAAAAGCTTTAAAACTAAGGGATCAAGGAATGACCAAAAATGGTATTGAATTTTACTTATAAATATGCTACACTTCTTTCGGAGCCAAATCAGCTCGAAGTGGCTAACTGCGCAGATTGCAAAGCGCTTATTATATCAGAAGATTTAATAATTTATTGTTGTATCAACGATGCTGGATGCCTCCATGCAAATTTTTTCCATACTCTCTTTTAATTAAAAAAATTTTTTTGCGGTCATCGGTTCCATTTTATTTTCTGCACTGTAAAAAAGATGATAATTTTTTTTTATAAAATCTATATTTTTTCGTGGATGTATTGATACCAAACTTGTATTTATTCCTTCGGTGATGACATCTTTATCTGGGAAAAGTTCGGGTTAAGGTAAAAATAACTGTTCATGTTCGGTTCGTAACTAAGATAATATGGATTCGGTTATTATCTTTACGCTTACAATTATGCATAGAGGAAGCACTAAAAAATTTTTCATTAAAACTAATGTTGTTAAATGGCTCAATTTGAGCCGATTTTTAAAAAATGACTAACTCAGTATTTTAACCAAAAAAAATATTACTCGAGCCTGAGGATTTCGCTGACAAGTGTCACAAAGATTTGGGCATATATTAGCTAAATCTCGATGCTTAGATAGAGTAAATTTTTCTGGCTAAAATATTGAGCTGACCGTTTGAGAATTGGCTCAAATCAAGCTGTACAAATATAATCATAAATTTTAAAGATTCTCTTCTGTCAAATTTTATCTTTAAAAAGAAAGGATAAATTTTTATAATTAGAAACATTTTTATATATGCTAGCTTTGGTAGTTGGCGCCACTAAATAGTAACATACAAAAAAAATGGCAAGTGATACTCTAATCAAAATTGATTATAAACGATCTTTAAAACAATGAGAATATCGAAAGGTTCAAGCGAAATTTTTTTAAAACAGTTCTTTCTGTGCCGTTTAGATTCCTTTTCAATCCCTTCACATTTTATATAAATGTGAGTTCAAATCATAATATTTTTACCTTCTTATGTTCCATTTAACCCCGGCTCTCACAATTTTTTTTAGAACCAATCAATTCTGAAAAGAACTTAAAAATTTGATTTAAAAAAATATTTGATTAATCTTGGCCATAAGTCAAAATTTTGTAAATAATACTTCCATTTTTGATTTGACAGATAAATTATCGATCGTTTATCTTTGATAGACTAATAAATTTTAATTTTACCTGCAGGAAAAAAAAATTTTCAACACAAAAAAAATATATCGGGACAACTAGCGTCTCTTATTATATTAAGTATTTTAATGGTATATTTTATTTTAAAAATTGAAAATCAAGTTTAAAAATCTCAGTCGCTTCTGGTGTTTGTAATTTATTGAGGTTCACTTTTTTTTTATAAAGCTGATTTTTATCTAAAAATTTTGAATTATATTCGTTATATTAAAAAGTTATTAATTTTACTAATTTTTCTTTCAAATTCTTCCTTATAATGATAAATATATGCATTTTTGGGGGAGAAGGGGGTGGGTAGGGGGATGATGGGTAAATTTTATATTAGCTTAATGATATTTACGAGAACAGACAAATTTGTGAGCTATGATATAATAATAAAATGAAAATACATAATTTTTTCAGTATTTTGTAAATAACACCATTTAAAATTAGCAGAGTTGTTAATCGCTACCTTTAAAAGTAATGATATTTACTAGAACAGACAAATTTGTGAGCTATGATATAATAATAAAATGAAAATACATAATTTTTTCAGTATTTTGTAAATAACACCATTTAAAATTAGCAGAGTTGTTAATCGCTACTTTTATAAGTAGCGCGCTACCGCTATCGCTATTTGCCAAAAAAAGTAGCGCGCTATTAGCTACTTTTTAAGCTATTTTTTATAAAAAAAATTTAGAAACAAATTTGTTTTATTTTTTGCTTATAATCTTATTGTGTAGTAAATATATAAAAATCAACATTTATAAATTTTAAAATATAGTTAGTTTTGAATAAAAAATTTATGTAATAAAAATAAATATTTATGGTAATTTGTTATATTTTATAAGTTTTTATTTTGTGTTATGTGTCTAACTATCTGCCGTGTTACATGTATATGATATCTCTGATAACTCTACTATTAGAGCAATTTTCATATCTTTAAAGTTATCTGCTATTTTATTCATTAGTGTCTGGCGACATAGAATTGTTTTACCAGTGGATAGATTGGTAAATGAGGATTATCAAACAAGGATATTGGCTGAATTGTATCAATTATTAAATCAACAGTAACTCAGCCAGTTTCTGAGAAATATTGGCTGAACAAGGATATTGGCTGAATTGTATCAATTATTAAATCAACAGTAACTCAGCCAATTTCTGAGAAATATTGGAATTTGTATTATTAACTAATTTGGTTTGAATTGAATTAGTCATTTTGGATGAAGAGTCGCCTATACCAAAATTATTTAGATGTTTCTCCATTTCCTTAAAACTATTGGCATGAACAGTCTTATAAAATAAATACTATTAGAATGTAAAAATAACAATTTACCTTTAGGTGTTTCTTAAGGATATAACTGGATTGATTTGAGAAAATATTTTTTTTTACAAATTAAACAAATAAATTTGAAGCCAGTTTTGGTTTTTATATTTTTTAAAAAATCTTTCAAATCTATGGGTTGGGGAATTTGTATTTCCCTGGTATCTTCCATTTCATTAATATCATTGTCTGAATCACTTTCAACGATTTGGATATCCATAGGCTATGACATTTTAAATTATTAACACTTGATTTAGGTTTATAATACAAATGAAAATATAAATTAATATATTTCAAAATTAAATAATAAATCATAAAAATTATAATTAATTATGATATTATATTTAAATTTTCATTATACATACCTTCATTATATTTTTTGAAAGTAACTAAGTATCTTCAAAAAATGTAGCACGCTAAAAAATTAAATAATTATAAAAAAAGTAGCCGCTATTAGCTATAGTTACCAAAAAAGATAGTGCGCTACAAGTAGCTCGCTACTTTTAACAACTTTGATAATTAGATTTATTATAGTATAGAAGTGTTGTCACAAAAATATACAAATTTGTGAGTAATTTATATTAGAAAAAACTATTTAATATAAAAAAAGTATCAGACAGGGTCTTAAGTCAATTCTTACCACAAAAATTGCTCAAATTTTAAAATGTTTTTTAAAAATGATTGACAAATATGGGTTGGACACCGCAGAGCCCCTGCTATATCAAATTTAATTTATTTTTTTTAAAAAGGACCGACATATTCATAATTATGTTAACAAATTTTCTATAAAAGGTAGGAAGTTGGAAAGTCATTAAATTATTTTACTATTGCAATGCATATTTGAAATAACAATTTTTTTAATTATAAAATTATCCCTTTTCAGCTTTCCTCATATACTTTATAAAAAAAATTTCAAACTGTTATAAAAATTTAACAAACTGTTATAAAAATTTTAAATTAATAATATACGTAAATTAACAAAAAAAAAATATATTTAACCTAGCCTATTTTTTTTGTAAAGTTTATATTTAAAAATAATATTGTTTTTTTGGGTTTCTTCATAAAAGATAGATTATTAGATTAGCATGTTTTCAGAGTTGCTAAAGTTTGTAATTATGATATTTTGTTATATCGTTGTTTTGGCCCTATACATTTTTTGTATCGATCTTAAATGATAGTTAATTTTCTTCTTCTTCTCCGTTTAATGGCGATTTCCAGGTTTATACAGGTTGCCCCCCCCCCCCCCTCCCCTGATTTTAAACAAAAATCTTTATGGTTGCCATTTATAACGCCGCGAATACCTAAAGAAAAAAAAATTGAATTTAAAGCTGAAAATTGGTTTTCATCGCACCGAGGAGGTAACGGGATCCCTTTTAAACGTAATCGAACGGTTTTTATAGTTAATTCTATATTTTTCAAAAAATTTAAAAATATACCCAAAAATGTATCGAAAAAATATTTTGTATCGGTATCAAAGAACCCATTTAGAATGTGTACCCGTATCGGTTTGGATACGTTAAAAGTATGACTATTAAACAATATAAAAAATAATTCAGACTAAAATTTAAAGACGACCAAAACGACGAAGCTTAGCTCAAAATGGCCGAAAAGCCACCCGTAACCATGATGGATACGACAGAGTCACAGCCGGTGCACGTCAAAAACTCGATTAATCCAAATATTAACGATAACCAATCGACCATTAATGATCATTCATCCTATCTCATTCGTACAGGCGATATTGCTAAGTATATCAAAAAAATATTTTAAAAAAAGGAACAAAGAATTGTCAAATATAATTTATCAGAATTCCTTTATTATATTTTTTAGAAGTATTCATATATATATCTTATAACAACTTTAACTCAGCTCTAAACTAAGCACACCGCCTCGACACCCTCTCTCATTAATGTCCTCGCTGCCCCCTCTTTCCTTCAACGAATGCTACCATAAGGAAAGAGAAGAATATCTGAAGCGTTTCGAAGGCTGGAACCAGCCCGATCAGGTGGACTTCGTTCAGCATCTACTTCATAAAATGTGCCACTATCAGCACGGCCTCATAGACTCGTTCCTCAAGCCCATGCTCCAAAGGGATTTTTTATCTTTACTACCGAGTAATTAATTATATGGACATATTGACGACTTTTATACTAATATTTTAAAAAATGTAATGAAAGTGATATTAAGTATTTTTTATTTTTAGTTAAAAAATGTCTAATCTTAATGATACTTATAGCTATGAATATAATTACTTTATTTTTAGCCTAAAACTATCATTTTGCCTTGTGATTTTTCCTAAAAATATAGTAGCTTAGATATGAAAGAAAATAATATAAATTAAAATGCATTAATGTTAAAGTATTTTCTCCTACACTGCCTGTAGATCGAAGTTTTATATGTTTTATTGAATGATTTTTAAGATTGAAACATTTTTCGAAGCAAATGCCATTTTAAATTTATATAATTTTTTTTTAAAAAAAACATTAATACTTGAAAAAAAGTTTGATTTAATAATTAAATAATTTTTTTAAATTATTGCCTGTTTTAGTTAGATTTTTGTTTAGTAAAATAATATGGAATATTGTATTTTATGTAATTTTTGCCTTATTTTCTATTATCTTTACAAAAGTTTTTATATAAGTTTTTTTTATCGAATACTTAATCTTTAACTTTAAAATATCAAAGCTTAGCATAGATACTTAAGCAAGATATAACAACTTAAAAATAGGGGTGAACTATGCCCTACTAAACCATGCGCCTTATTTTTTCCCCACCTCCACTGAATGGTTGAGTTAATATCTATTAAGTTTTGATTTGAACAAAAAATGATTTTGGGTTTGAATATTTTTTTTTAAAAAAAGTGGTGCTCTTAAATTATTTTGAGGCTCTTGTCTTTTTTTAGATTTGACGCGTTTCGGGTTGTGTCTTAAACCCTGATAATATCAGTCGTTTAGATCATAATAATTTAAGATACAATTTATTTAATAATTGATGACTTTATAAAAATAAGGATAATATCAAAGTCCTCATTTTATTCTTATCAAAACTCAAATATATTATTCCTCAGAGTTTTACTTGGACCACTTAGCCGAAAAAATTCTTTCATATGTGGACGCCCGTTCACTCGCTTCTTGCGAGGCCGTTTGTAAGCGTTGGAATAGAGTTGTGTGCCAGGGAGTACTTTGGAAAAAACTTATGGAAAAGAAAGTTAAGAACGATCCTCTTTGGAAAGGGCTTTCTACCAGAAGAGGATGGTAAATATCATTAATATTTTATATTCAAAAAAGACCAATTGTAAGGGAATTTTTTGTTAAGCACGGGATATCAACATATTGTGATATGTTATTTTGTCGTGTTATGAAACAATTACTAATTATCCTATTCTATTTATCCTGAAGGAGCCAATTTCTCTACAAGGCCCAAAGCCTTGATTTTGTTCTCGACCAGCTGCGATCTCTAAAACCGCTCGATTCGGCCAGCCATACCCGGGCTCCTTTCGACTCTCCCTTCTACGAGTACTTCTTAAATGGTAACCTAGCTGATGCGGGCCAAGATAACATAAATAGTCTAACTGGAAATGTGAACATCTTAAACGAAAAATGCCTCCACTCTAATTCTCCCCCAGAACCACCTCCTTACTTTTTTAAGCCACCCGGTTTTATGCAGGGCGATGAATATCAGCTTAAAATTGCTTCCTGGTTTAGTTCTTTTAAATTATAATTATAAGAATGATTTTTTCTTCTTCACGTGATGATTATAGGGTTCTAACTAGGGATGTAAATTTCCCGGGAAACTATATTTCGGGGAAATTTGGGGAAAAACGGGAAACTATCTTTTTTATAATACTTTACAGGTCAATATTGATTTTTTTTTATGTTTTATTGAAAATATATAGATTATAAACATTATAATTAAACAAATATAAATTATTTTCAACTAATTTTGATTCGCAATTACTTTACATGTTTTATTTGAAATATTATATATAGACTAATATTTAAACAATTAGTTTTGAATAGTATCTTCGTTTGAAGATGAAAATGATTCCAGATCAGAGCTTGAAATTCTGGAATCCAGCAATTTGTCATTTTCAGAAATTTCCTTTCCCATAAAATGTAGATTGGCTCTTATATAAACTAATTTGCGAACTTTGTCATTTTTTATTCTATTTCTAGATTTAGAATGAATATTTCCAAAGGAGGACCATATTCTTTCGGATGCTGCACTTGTTGGTGGTAGTGATAAAATTCGTATGGCTAGGGTCGATATGTATTGATTGCAACATAGACCTAATAAAATATTGAATAACACAATTTTAAGATTAGAAAAAGAGTTAAGTTATTGTTTACAGAAATATAAAAGTATTTTTTCCACCAACTCACTGGATCTGTAAATGATGCGCCTTGCCAAAGACTTGCTATATTAAAAAAATCTTCCCTTGCACGATATTTGGATAGGTTTCCTATTACTCTTGCAATATCTAAATCTAGATATCCAGAAAATCGGTTAATAATATTCAACCCCTTTGCAACTTCATTGTCTCTTAAATTAAATCCGCAAAACCTTGGGTCAAATATATGAGCAGCATAATGAATGTCCCGACAACAAAAATTTTTTCGGCTTTTGATAAACTGCTCTATTTCTAAAATCTCGCTCTGCGACAATATATTTGATATTGTTTTATAAGCGTTAAATGTCTCCCTGATATGAATAAACGCTTGAGGGACATCAGATAAATTGGCTTTATCTCCTTCCACTATCTCTATTTGCGTAAATATGACTTTAATAAAATTATATAGTTTCATTAGATCATTTAAAAACCCATCGTTATCAAGAGGAGTAAGTCTCTTATCTCGATCAGTAAATATATCAAGAATAGCCATTTCCTGTAAAATATCTTTATTTTTTAACAAGCTATTTATCATCAAAACTATACCTGCCCAACGAGTTGGGCTAGGCAACTTTAGGGAAACAATTTTTCTCTATTAACATAACTTAAAATTTCATATATTATTTATAAATTTCATTGGTATTTATTTATAATATAAATATACTTTTCAGACTAGCTATTTAATTTTAACAAGTATCTTCTAAAATTTTGCAAATGTAAATAGGGAAATTGACATAATTCAAAAACAAAACACAATTATAATTTATGATATGAACCACGAGGAAAAAATGATTTTATAAAATCTAATAAAAATCGTATTTATTTTATCATAAGATCATTTTCAAAATTGGGAAACTGTTAATATTATAAAAATCATGTTGATTTAGGCAAAAAAACCTATTATAAAAATTGGGGAAACTATAGGGGAAATTTCCCCTGTCTTACATCCCTAGTTCTAACTCGACTCCATCATTTTTAACTTTAATATATTTATTTAAAGCGACTATATATTCTTATAGATTATTTATACAAAAGTGTATATATAAAACAAAACAGGTTTTACAAGAGACTTTTTGGGTCGGTGCTTAAGGATATAACGAATCTGGAAAGCAATTGGAGGGAAGGCCGGCACTCCTTAAGGAGGATCAAGTGCCGCAGTGAAAATAGTAAAGGAGTATACTGTCTGCAATATGATGAAAGCAAAATCGTGAGTGGGCTGAGAGATAATACCATTAAAGTTTGCTTATTAATTATTTTCTAGATTTTAAAATTATATAACGTTGTATTATATAATTTAATATTTATTAATAGTAAAAATTTAAGTTGTGTGTTATCTAATTGTTTTTTTGTTTGTTTAAAAAAATCAAGCCAAACCTCTTAAAAATTACAAAATTTACCAAACAAAATTTAAATCAAAGTTAACATTATAAATTATCATTCTTGATTTTGGCCAAAAATACCCATTTGGTTTACCTATATGACTTTAAAATATAGAAGTTATTCAGTGATACAACTAATAATAAGCAGGCGATAAAAAAATATGATTTGCTAACCGTCTATATTATTCAAATTTCTGGAAACGCTATTTTGCATTGTTCGATTTTTGACTTGTTATCTTTTAACTTTATGCGTTAAAATCTGTATGACTTTAGCCTAATATCGTGACATTTCACTTCTGGCCCCTTTGATTTTATCTTTAAATTAATGTAGCATATATATATCAGAAATTGCCTAAATTGGATCTAAATTGTTTATTTAAATAAAGTCTGAAAAATGGGGGTGGGACAATATAAGAAATAAAAATATCAACAATTTATGGTTGGCTTTACATTAGAAAAATATACTTCTTCACAAAATAATTAATTTTTACTAAATTTTTTTTTAAAAAACTCAATTCTTTATTTTATAGCCAACTGTTTAAACATATCTTTAATTATAATATAAACGCCAACGATATGATATCAAATTGAATAATGTTTATGCAGCAATTTCTTAGATTTAAATATACCTTTTTGTATACTTTCTAAGATCTGGGACTTCAAAACTCTGGAATGTATTAAAGTGCTTACTGGGCACACTGGATCTGTCTTATGCTTGCAGTACGACGATAAAATCATAATTACCGGTTCCAGCGACGCCACAGTCAGGTAAATCCATTAAATATTTTTATGAATCAATTAATGAAAATACTTAAAATCTTGTGACTATGACAAATCATTTTTATATATTTTAGTTAAATTGATTTATAATTGACCTTTTTATCGCAAAAATTATGTGGCAAGAATATGGGACGTCAGTACTGGCGAAATGCTAAACACGCTAATCCATCATTGCGAGGCTGTTTTACATCTCAGGTTTGAAGATGAGGTTATGGTCACCTGCTCTAAGGTTAGAAATGAAAAAAAAATTCATTTTGCCTCTTAATTTGTTTTTAATTTACCCATTTTATTATTGGCTTCACGTTTTATTTATATTATTTGTAAATATTCGTTACAATAAAATTCAGTTAGATTTCCTTAGAAATTCATCAGTTTCTATTTTTTTTAAACCCTATTATATAATTAGCCTTATCCTTACATATTATAATAAGAGGTTTTTGATCAAATTTTACCCAAAACTCCCAAATCTTTTTATAGATAAATTTTTTGTAATTTTTTATGCAAATGGATTATGATCTTTATAAAAAAAATTCAATTTTACGATCTTCAAAAGTTTTTTGTTTAAAATTTTGGGTGAAGAAAACTTTCAAACTTTCTATATAACATATAAGTTTTTAGTATAAATGAACCCATATCGGATCTTTTCTTCAGATTAAGCCCAATCCGAGGAAAATTTTTTAATATGTCTGGCCTATCTGATCCGAACAATTTTTCAAAGGTCCGATCCAATTTTTATAAGATGTTGCAAAAATTACGATATTAACTAAGAGCGAGATATAAAAAAGTTTTGACTTTATTCTTTAAAAAAGATATCTTATTAAAAAAAATCGTAAAACAAAATAATTTAAAATCTATTTACTTCCTAGTTGGGCATGAACTGTAAAATGTTAAAATTAATAAATATCATTTTAATCTTTCATTTTTTCTATAAATTTAAGCTAGAATTTCTACCCACTTATTCATTCAAATCCTCCTTCGTGTCGTGCCACTTTATCATTTTTTTATGAACCCAAATGACACCTTTAAGATGCTACATAAGCTATACAATAATAACACCACAAATTTTTAATAATTAGGACCGTTCAATAGCAGTTTGGGACATGAGGTCTCCCAAGGATATAAGCCTGAGACGAGTGCTGGTAGGTCACAGAGCGGCGGTTAACGTGGTGGATTTTGATAGCAAATACATTGTTTCCGCTTCTGGCGATAGGACGATTAAAGTTTTATTCATTCATAAATACACTTCAATTCGATGTAGCTAACTATACTCGCATTAAATATTAAGATTGATTTGAAGAAAGGGGAAGTTTGTTTATAATGTTAAAATGATGAAAACCTTATTTCAAATTAATTAAAAAATAATTTTTTTTTTGCTAAAGGTATGGGACACGTCTACTTGCGAATTCGTTCGAACTTTAAATGGGCACAAGAGGGGAATCGCTTGCTTACAATATAGGGATAGGCTAATAGTTAGCGGTTCTTCCGATTATACCATAAGGTTTGTTTGCCTAATTTATCTAATACATCAAACACATAAAATATAAAATAAACTTGCCTTTTTTTTTATTTAAAGATTATGGGACATTGAATGCGGTTCTTGTCTTAGGATATTAGAAGGGCACGAGGAATTGGTTAGATGCATCAGGTTTGACAATAAACGAATAGTCAGTGGGGCTTACGATGGGTAAAAACTTTAATAACTTTCCTATCTTTCCTACTTTTCTCTTGACATTTTTTCTGCTAATACTTTTTATATATTTTTTATTGGTTTCTATGTCAGTTTTTTTTACTATGGTATTAAGGTTAAGTAGCCTGATGATTTTTTAAAATATATAATACATTATTTATAATTTTAGCTGAATAAAATTGTGTTACATTATATTTTTAAATATATTGACCATCTTATAGACTTTTTATCTCGGATGGTATATTAAGATTATTATTATTTTCTTGTATATTCACCACCTCTCTATTCTGAATGAACAAATTTTTATAACTTGTAATATTAAAAATGTAAAAACTTTAAATAATACTATTAAATACATACAAGTCAAATAAAACATCAAGTATTCAGCCACTAAAGGATTTTATAGAAATAATTTACTAAACGAATTCAACTTTGCTTAAGTACAAAAAATAAATATAGTTTTCTGGATAATTTCAGCATGGTATAAAGTAAAATCGGATGCAATTATTTGGTGTTTTAAGAAAGCAGAATTTACAATTCCCGATGAATATTGCAGGGATTAATATTATTTGTGATAATGATATTTTTAATCAAAGAGCCCGCAAAAGTCAATATTATTGCCCCATCCTAGATTTGAAATATTTTTTATTTTCAAGCCTGGCCCTAAAATTTATTTTATTTATTGACCCGGCCTAGAATTTTTTAAAAATTTAGTATAATTTATTGCTTTTTACAAGGGAAATTATGAGCAGTGTGTAAATTAGTCAACGTTCCATTATATGATTTTCCAACTTAATTGATATAATTTAAATTAAATTTTTTTTTAATTGGCTTGGCCCAGATTTTTAAGCCTTGCACAGATTATTTAAAATCATCCCATTTTTCGGGTCGGATTTCAGGCCTACAGGTCTCTAATTTTTATTAATTCACAGATATAAAATTTATTTGGAATATTAAGATAAAATTAACTTTCCAAGATACTATATTGCATTCAAATAGTCATTACTCAATCCCTAAAATCATGGTTATATGGTTTTAAAAAATTATTTGATAAATACATTGCAAGGTTTTAGAATTTTCTAGATTTTCGCATTGTTTTTATTATAAGCAAAATTTATATTATTCCAAAAAATATCTACATATCAGATTATTATACATTTATCGTAACTTCATTATTTTATTTATTGCCTCACAGACAAAAAGAAAAATGTAAATTTTTTTAGAAGTAATTGCTAAAATAGTGAGGCATCAGCTGTAGTCCACAATTTTTAAAGTAGCGTTATCCGTATTTATAAGATGTTAAATTTAATTTAATATTGCTTGTAAATCTACCTATATGATATTTATATAGTATATTTATGCATAAGTAAAGTTTATTTTGCTCTTAATATTTTTAAATATTTAATTTTAACTTAAAGGAAAATAAAGGTATGGGATTTAGCCGCAGCTTTAGATCCTAGAACTCCATCAGGCTCCGTTTGCATTAGAACTTTAGTCGTAAGCTATTTTTTTTTTACAATTTTTTTTAAAAACCATATTTAAACAAAATCATTTTGTAAAAGTCTTAGAATATTTTATATACACAAAATCTTTTATACATTTTTAATAATATCTGCTTTAAAATTAAATTAACTGGTTGCCAAAATGTTATATTATTACTTTCCATAACTTTATTTAAATTCAAAAACATATTTCAAATTCAGTATCCTAATCTTATTTTTATTTCTTTCATAGCAATCACATATTCTACAAATAAACAAAATAAAGGAACATACTGGCCGTGTATTTAGACTCCAATTTGACGAATTTCAAATTGTCAGCAGTTCTCATGATGACACTATACTCATTTGGGATTTCCTTAATTACGAGAACCAAACGGAACCTTTGGGCGGTTTATCTACTTTGGCAAACCCTTTAGAGGATGAGTTCCTTAACCTTGGGAATCCCGATATTGCCATGTCCACGGGAGTTCTATTAGCCAATAACGACATGAATAATATGGTAGAGGGATCCGGAAGTAGTTCTACCAACCTAGGAAACTTTAATACTCCCTCCAATATTATCAATGGGAGCAACAGTATACAAAATAACAATATAAATAATTCCGGCGTTTATAATGAGGCAGATAATGTTGATAACGGTATTTGAACCACAGAATTTATATCCACTGTCGTGATTAAAACAAGTTCATTTTTATTGTTTTATTCTTTTCATTGACTTGAAATAAAGTATTTTTTTAAAAAAACAACGTTTTCCCACTTTTTTATATCACATGCCAGAGATCTTATAATTTATGATGTTTCTGGCTTTAGCGTTTTAATTATTTTTTTGTCCCATGAGAACCTTAGCGGGAGTTGCTATAATGTTATTGCTTCGTAAACTTCTGAATTATAATTGCTAATTAATTATTTTTTTTGCAAATAAAATATCTAGAGCAACTAAAACTAACTAACGCCTCAACCAAGTATTAAAATCGTAACCGATATAACTCCGATGAAAACTAACTTAACGAAACACTCATCTTTCTCAACATATCCAATATATAATATATCCAAAAATTTAGGACATCTTATATTTAATTATAATATATATATATTATAATATTATAACATAAAATTATTATTTATAAACTTTTTTATTTGAAAAAGAGACGAATTTGTATATAATATTATTAATATTTTAAAATGGCGTTTTGGCTTGTAAAACGCGTGACTGAGATGGTATAAGCCATAATTAAATAATGTTTATAATATTTTTTGTATGAATTCGCACATGTGAATTATGCATTTTATTTTTAGATTTTAAAAATTATCATTTTTTTTACTTGAATAAAAAAAAAACTTTCAATTGTATTTACATGTTAAATAGATTAAAATTAGGGCTGCACCGATACACAATTTTTTTTACCGATCCGATATTTATTTTAAACGATGCTGATTCAATACAGATATTTACATTGACTTTTTTTATCGATATTTTATATTATATAAGATAATTGATTATTTAAAAGCTGTATAATTTTTTTTAATGGCGTTTTAATCAGAATACTCAATTATCTCGGCTCTTCAAAATTAAAAAAAGCCTCGAAGCTTTAAAATTTTAAAGTTAATCTTATCTTTAAATTTGTAGAAAGGTTTGTATTTATAAGATATATTGTCTTATTTATTTAGTTATAACCGAGCTATTCCATGTCAAACCAATCATGATTCTGACTACCCTTTTGAAAGTTAAAACTTTCTGAATTAATTGATAAGTGTTTATTTTAGCTCGCTAGGTGCGTAAAACAACCAGAATCTGTAAAATTTTGAATGTTTATATCTCAAAAACTATTTATAGTAAAAATAAATATAATATATCATATTGTAGGTAAAAAAAATATCAAGATCTATCAAAAGAAAAAAGATTTGGCGCCAATTTGACTCTTTAATTTCCGGTTTACGTTTCCAACTTAAATCAACAAAAATGATTAAAATTATTAAGTGTCGTGTGATGAATGGTAACTACCTCTTTATTCCAGTGAAATCTTTATCTTCGCCTACAAGTAACCATAAATTTATAATTTTCATAAAAATCTATCTGAACGATATATTATCCGTCATCAAAATTCATTTCAATAGAACATGCCTTAAATAGTTTTAAGGATTTAAGCAATCTAGAAATTTTAAAGGTGCGAATCACCATTTTTCTCAGCTTTGAAACTCTGTACCTCGGTAACCCTTAAATAATTCTAGCAATTTTTAAACAACCTTAAAAGGAGCAGCCAAAAATGGATCTTTTTGATCAATTTGACATGGAATGGCTCAAAAAATCGAAATATTCTATTAAAAAAGTAAATATCCTATTGGTAATTTAGTAACAAAATTTTAACCATCATCCATAGCTCCATCTATTTTATCCAAATAAAAATTTCAATTGTAAAAATGCATATTTCGGAAGCACTGATGGCGTTTCCAAGGTTTTCACTATTGATAAAATGCAAAAAAAATTTCAAAAATGCGGGCAAAGCCATAAACCTGAAGTTTAGAATCAAATTGGCGCCAAATTTTCTTATTTGAATAGACCTTATATTTATTTTTACTAAAATACTTTGAGATGTAAGCATTTTTAAAATTTTACAGATTCGAAAGTCTATTTTTCACATTTTTGAGACCCTGCATCTCGGGAAAATATTTAACGAATAGCATTAAGCTATAAGCATTGACCACATTTTAAATGAGATAATTACCTTATGGGGAATACGACAAATTACTAGTGAAGTTAACATTTCTAAAAAATCGAACAAATCATGTTCAACGTTGATCGACAAAAATCAAGCGCCTTCGTTCAGCGTTCACCTAAAAAAACTTATGAGGAATTTTTTTTAAAAAATTTCATTTAAATAAATAAATACCATATATTTTTAACTTAATATATTAGTAATGTTTAAAATAATAGTCTTTAAGCGTATAAAAGAATAAGAAAGAAATTTATTTTTTTTAAAAAAAAATTCATAATAATTTTTAATATAAATTTATAATACTTTAAATTGTGTTCAACTATTAAAATAGAAAGCAAATTTCAAATAAACATTTAAAATTAAGTAAATTCTCAAAGATATTAACTAGTTTATATTTATGTACATAATTTATAGTAGACAGGCTTGTTAATCGATCCTTTTGAAAAGATCAAATCCCGATCATGATCTTTTCAAAAAAAGAGGAACGACCTAATTTATAAAAAAGGATCGCAATCAAGATCCTTATTTAAATTTCTGAAGGAAATTTCTGATCGATGCAAAATTAAATATAAAAATTAATTAAATATGGTATAAATTTATTGTAATTTAATAATATAAGTATAAGAATTAGAATATATTTATTTATAATTAAAATTAGCCTTTAATAATAAAAATTTTCTAAGTTATTATTTAAATATTCATGTCTTTCATTTAGCACTCTCCTGGAGCTCTTGATGTCAAAGGTGTGTTAGATTCAATAAATATATTTTTAAAATTAACATAAGTATTAAAAATATTTATTGAATCATCATTCGAATAAAAAAAATTAATAGAACGAACATTTTGTGAAGAATTTTTTCCAAAAAAGATCTATTTCATCCATATATTTATTTGAAGCATTTGCATGTGGTTAATCCTGCATATTTTCCAAATGGGCTAATAACCTTTCTTTCACCAACAATGTTGTGGCAAATTAATATAAGGCTAGTTTAGCTTTTGGGTAAATTATTGCTGCCAATATGTTATTGTCATCATACAATGAAGGAAATCTATATTAAGAAATGATAATTAATTTATAATTAATAAATGTGTTCATTCATATAAATCAGGTATCTGAGCACTTTTAAATTTAACAATGAGTCCTTGCCCATCATCTGTATCGTATTTATTGTTATATCATATATATTGACTAAATTTAATACTATATTTAGACTTTGAGGTTTGAACTACTAATCCTTAAAGAAGATATTTTGTTCTTACATAAGTAGCATTTTGCACTGATCATTGTGTAGTTACCTCCATCCGTTTCACATAAAGTAAAATACTTATGTAAATTATGAAATGGTAAAAGATTCTCATTTTCACTTATATCTGCTGTCACATCAATAGTAGCTAAAAAAACTTGTAGGCTCTAAATCTCGTTCTTAAATTTAGGAAATTGTTGAAATATAAAATATGGTGGAATGGAAGTTGATAAAATATGACGTAGATAGATATTTTTTAAAAAAATAATATTTTAATTTAATTTTCACAATTTTAATTTAATTTATTACTTTTTAAGTAAAAATTAATTTTCAAAAGGATATGCTAAAAAAATGATCTCGATCACTATCCTCAATTTAAGACAGGATTATAAATCCTGGAAAATTGACCAATTTAGTATCAAATACAAGATCGGCGATCATTTGATACGATCTTTTAAAAACTCTGATATTAGATGATCAATAATTTGATAAGCCTATAAAATACAACAATTTAAAACTAATTATTAACAGGTTACTTATAGTTAATAAATATAATCAAATACCTCTTTAAATTTGAACATGGAGGTTTTGAAACTTATTACTTTATGGACAAATTTTAGATTTATTAAGGATAGAATTAGTTTAATGAATATATGATGTACTGTTATTTATTATATTTAGGTCATTACAAAGAAACGGCTGATTAGAAAATAACCCCTAAATTGATATTTTTTATTTTCAAATAATAAGATTTTCTAAGATTGAACGAACTTAAAATTAACAAGTTCGTCAAAAAAAAGGAACGTCATCATTTTTTTTTATAAACGATTGAACACGTTGGTTTACAACATTACTAAATTCACTTAATTATCCGTGATGATGTACTAAATATTATCTTAGTCGAGGAAAGCTTCAAATGTTTCCTGTTTAGCTCATCGTTAAGAGATAATTTAGAATATCATATCTATAAGGAGTAACGGCAAGTTGTTATTTAGTTAATGTTTTTCATTAAGAAGTTTTTTCGAAAAATTATTTATTTAAAATCTATTTAAATTGGTTTTAAGATTATTTTAAAATTATATAACATTTTGGAGTATAGTATACATTTTTAGGGTATATTATTAAGTTACTATATATTTAAATCTTTGCAGAAGACGGCCTTGCCCATTCAGCCCCTAGGCAAGGGCCAACGGTAAAATCAAAGAAATACGCCGGATCCTACCCAAAAATATTTATGTTATATTTCCCCTATTTTTCTTTTTTTTAACTGATTGAATATCACGCTTATAAAATAAATTTAAATAATTTTAGAAGGTGAAAAATATTTACTATTCTTTTTTACATCATAATTTATAATAAATAGTTAAACATTAAATTATTAATAAAGTTATTGCTGAATATTTTAATTTATTGCATAACATTAAAATAAAATGTATAATTTTAGCTTTTGATTTCTTCCATATTCCTTTTTAAATTAGGGTTAGACACCGAGCTGTGGATCTGGGTTGAAAAATTTTAAAATCGTTATCGCCTTTAGCTTTTCCATTCTTTTTTTGTTTTGAATCTGCTGAACTCAATAATTAATTTTCTTATTTTAACAAATATAAAACCTTACTTCAAATCTCGCAATAATAAAATTCATATTTCTTAAAGCTCTTAGTTTTAAGAATATTACGACAATTGGATTTCATATATTTATAATTAAAATTATTTCATTTTTTTTAAAAACATGTTGTTTGTGGAGGGGTCTACTAATGTTTTTATTAAAAACGAAATTCAGTAAATAATATATTTATAACAATAAAAATTTTTTTATTAGTATTCCAATGATTCGAGATTAACCATTTTGAAAATATTTTTCAGTTTAATAACTAATTTTTGAGAGTATTTTATTAATTTTACCATTTTTGAAAAGATTATAAAAGGGCTTCATAAATTGTGAATCTTAAAATATTATATTTCGAGTAGGTTATATTTTATTCTAAATATTAGCAAAAATTTCAAATTAATTTCTTGTATATTAATATTTCATCACACGAAAATTTAATGTTTATTTTCTTACATTTTTTAAGGAATATTATTATATTAGTATTCTTTTTTGAATTATACAGCATTATTTGTATATAATATAGAATTGATAAGTAAATTTAGACAAATAAATTTTTGTAAATGACTCATTTATGTAATATTCGCTCATTTATTTGATTAAAAATTACTTTTAATTGTATAAAACGCTAGTTGTTCCCAATTCGAAATTTTTTTTTTCTAAATATAGAAATATATAATTGTTATAAGTTACAAAAGGTTAACAAAAGTAAAAAATTTCTCAA